ACAAGAGTTTTCGATGGACAAAATTGATAGTTTGTGCTTCCATGGATTTCACGTGAGCAGCAGAGCCATCATGTAGCTGTAGAGAATCAGTACTAAAATTCTTGCACCCACTTATAAGAGGATCTCTCTTATCAAAAAGCTTCCGATGCAGTCTGCAAATAAAAGCCATGTCATCTTTATGACATGAAACCTATTAATATTTAATCATGAATTCTGGAAAGTGTATTCATAGATATTAAGGGAGGACTATGATCACCCATCCTAACCTTCCTCATAACCCAGGCCAAAAATCTCATTCAGTGTTTCTTGCATCAAGCCCATACATTTCTTTTAGAGCTAGAGCATCTTTTTTAGGATGCTATTTAGTTTTAATTTAAAGACTGCAGAGGGATGGAGAGTCCTCCACATCCCTCAGTAAACTGTTCCAGTGATTATTACCCTCATTTAAAATCTGCACTTTATTTCTAATCTGAATTTTTCTAGTTTCAACATCAGATCTCATTATGATAGATTTCATTTTAGCAGAAAAAGGCAGATCTCTATTTCCCCCATAGGTAGTTGCAGATCATAATTAAGTCAATTCTTAACCTTGTCTTGGATAAGCTAAAACTAAATAGATTGTGTTTCCTAAGTTTTTTCTGCAATAAGACATGTTTTACAGACCTCAAATCATTCTTATAACTCTTTTCTGAGCTCTTCCTTTTTTCCCCCAACATCCTTTTTAAGTGTTGACACCAGAACTGGATATAATATTCCAATAACTGTCTAATACCATATACAAATACACCTTCTGTCTCCTAGTTAAAAAAGGATAAATAAGCAGGAGAATATCAAAACTATCTGCTTCCATTGAACCTGGCCTTACTATATCTGGAAGGTCATGCCCCCCATACAGTCAGCAAATGAGCAAAAACTTATTACAATGATTTTATGGTATGTTCTACATGGAATGGCTTCATGGATTAGGCAACAACCCTACCAGCATCAAATCTGACAAAGGCACAGACCTTGTTGCAAGAGAGCTGGTCATCGCTGGCAAGTCTGATTTCAATAATTGTCACAAAAAGCAACTTGCAGAGATCAGTGGAGGGTACACTTTCTTCTAACAAGACTGTCCGTGACAGTCGCATGTTGGCTTTGCCATTAGCAACTGCATTGGTACCAAGCTTTTAAAATAAATAAATCTAAAGGCGTAAGTGATTGGCTCATGACTCTATGGTTGCCACTGAAACAAGTGGTGTGCTACCATGATTAGTGCTTACACTCCCATCATGACAAATGCAGTCAAAGAAAGAAAAGTTCTACAGTGACTTAGACAAAAGCCCTCAGTGTTTACAATGGCATCAGATAAACTGGTCATCAAAAAGGGGTCTTCAACGTGAGGGCGGAAGTAATGCAGTAAAATGGCAGAATACCATAGGACAGCATGGGACTGGGAAAGAATAGCAATGAAACTCTATTATTCAGTGAATGTGTGACGCAGCAGCTAGTGATCATGAAAGCCTTTTTCCACCTACCAGACCAAAGAGAAATCCTCATGGACACACCCAGGATCAAAAAATGGCATCTTATTGACTATACTATCATCTGGTGGCAAGATCTACAGGATGTATAAATGACTGAAGCCTTGCACACGACAGACTGATGGATAGACCATTGCATGATAAAATTCTGGAGTGTATTTGTTAATATGGCAAGTACATGGCAAATCATCATTTAAACCAGTGGCGAGCAACCTGTGGGCTGCATGCGACCCATCAGGGTAATTCACTGGCGGGCCATAAGACAGTGTTTACATTGACCATCTGCAGGCACGGCTGCCTGCAGCTCCAAAGTGGCTGCGGTTCGCCAGACCCAGCCAATGGGAGCTGCAGGAAGGTCAATGTAAACATTGTCTTGGGGCCACTGACCAGATGCATGTTGCCCACCGCTGATTTAAACCAGACAGCTCAACGTACAGCAATTACAAGATGAAGCTACATAAGCTCAGCTCTGCAACAAACATCAGAGCTGCTCTACCTGACCTTGCTGGCTTGACTACTAGTGCTAATGTAAACAGCAAATGGGCAACTCTTCACATACTATACATGACGCAGTTTTTGCCATCTTGGGTACAGCAAAATGACGTCACCAAGCCTGTCATGATGAGAATGACTCAGAAATCCAACAGCTAGTAATTCCTCCTCTGCTCACCCCCCAGTCCTTCCCCCCTGGTTATTTTTAGTAAAGTCAGACAGGTCGTGGCTCCCGTGAATTTGTTTATTTCCCGCAACTGTCCATGACTTTTACTAAAAATAACTACGACAAAGTCTTAGCCTTAGTCATGAAACCAAAGACTTCCATGCGGCTTTGAAAGATGTATAATGGTCACACACACACACAGTGCCTTTAAAGAGTGCAGACAGCCTATTGCTGATCACCAATAAAGGAGAAATACTATCAGGGATGCCAACAGCATTTCAGTGATCTTCTGAACACACCAGCCAACACTATAGAAGAGGCACAAAAGAGCAGTGGATATGTCAACATCTGCCCGGTCCCTTGATGGAGTCAGCACTGCAACCAGTGCCATGAAGAACTGCAGGGATCAGATGGTATTCCTGCAGAAATAGTCAAGCATTGAGGAGAGACCTTAATGAGGCAATTACATGGAAATTCTCTCAATATATAGAGAGAGTACTGAAGAAGATGTACTGCACGAATTCAATGATGCCACCATTGTCACCACATACAAGAGGAAAGGTGAAAGTCCAACTGTGGCAACTACCACGGTATCATTACTTATGAGCACTGGAAAGATTCTGGCCAGAGTACTCTGATTGTCTGCTATGCAACATCACTAATCGTGTGCTATCAGACTCACAATGCTGTCTCAGGATAATGCAAGGAACAGCAGACATATTTGTAGCTAGTCAGAGGCAGGAGCAATGCAGAGAACAGCAACAGAACCATTACCAATGAACCAAGTCTTCATTGACTTGGCTAAAGCATTTGACACTGACAGCAGATCTGGACTTTGGCAACTATTACAGAAGTTTTGTTATCCAGAAAAATTCACCAATATTCTGAGGCTATGGCATAACGAAATGCTTAGACAAGTCTGTGCACATTGGTTCAGTATGACCCATTTCCTATCATTAATGTTAACTAGAGCTGCATAATTAATTTAACCCTGAATTAATGTTCAATGTCTTCTATGCAGTAATACCCAGTGATGCTACAAGAGACCTGAATGCTGGTATCAGGATAGGTTTCCTGTCCTCTAGAAAATTATTCAACCTAAACATGCTGCAACCCTCCACCAAGATCTGAGGTAGTTGATGAGCTGCTGTATGCGAATGACTGCACTCCAGAGAAAACGAACTCAAGAAGAGATACGATTGATAACAGACAAATTTGTAGAGTCTACAAAAACAGAGGCTGAATCTAAAAGAAAGAAGTCACGTATCAACCTGCACTAGGAAAACCCTACAAGAAACCAGAAGTCACCATCAGCAACACATAGCTGAATGCTGTTACAGACTTCTGTTATCCTGGCAGCATATTGGTGAATGATGCTACGCTAGACAAGGAGCTGACAAGTTGCAGTAACAAAACCAGTTCATCATTGGCAGACTATCAGGCAGAATCTGGCAGCAATACTGTATTAAGCTTCAAACAAAAGATAAGAGATTAAAGCGGTTGTGCTGTCCTACCTGTAGCAGGGCTCGCACTCATACATCACCTCAAGTTTCTAGATAAATACCATTTTTGACAACTGCATACCAAACTCTGCATCAAACAGCAGAATAAAGTTAAAAATAAAGTTCTGGAATGCAGCCACTCCACAAAGACTGAAGCCATGCTCATGGCATCACAGTTACGCTGGGCTGGTGATGTGTTCAGGATGGATGACACCAGAATGCCAAAGCAGCTACTGTACAGCAAACTGGAAGTAGGTAACCACACATAAGATGGCCAGAAGAAATGCTTCACAGACACACTGAAGCATAACTTGAAGCAGTGTATCACTGATGTCAACAGCTGAGCATCAGACAGATAGATCACCTGACAAGCAGTAGTCAGCAATGGGGTTACTCAGAGACTAATCACCATATGGCTCTTGAGGTACAGAGGCTGAGTTGTAAACAGCAGCAGCTTCAGCAGACCGACTGTAATCCCTTCCTTGATATTGAGCTACATATGCATTCAAAGTAGAAAGGACAAAGTGTATTACCACTGACAGCATCATCTTCGGTCATGGACAACCACCACCTATCCAGGAATCATGTTTGCCCTCTTCACTACAGAAGAGCCAAAGGAACATGAGCTCCCAGTGTGATCTTCCATAATCCTAAGTCCTTTTCCATGTCATTGCATTCCAGGACAGAATCACCCACCTTGTATGACCTACAAGGTTCCTATGTAACATGATCTTGCATTTGGATGTAATACACAAGTTTCTCATGTCAATCTGCTCAGTCTCACGTGCTTTGCACTTATTTGGCACAGAGCCTTTAATATCCCCCCCTGTTGATTCAAGCTGATAAGTGCTTTTTGGTTTTCGGTTTTTGAAACCATACAACAAAAGCCCAGCAGGGTGCTCTGATGTGATCCAAAAACATTTTTCAATTTTTTTCCCAAATCATGCAACTATCCATGGACATTAGTTCTTGTAAGAAATGTTTAGAATAGTTAGCATGTAAGTCAAGGACTGATTTGCAAATTAAGTTGTCTAACCATCGCAGCAAAAGCAGCTGCAGAGAGTCTGCAATTCAAAACTGTAACAAATTAGAGTGGCCACCCCACTCCTAACTTCAGGCCCAGTTGTGTTTTGCAGCAGACACAAATAATAAATCAGTTTTATTTTACTACAAATCCTACTCTTGTTTGGCTGCCAAATGAAAAAAAGAAAAGAAAAAAAAAAGCTTGCCTTTCTGGCAAAATAACTACGTGACTATAGCTAAGAAGCCCAGACCCCCATCTCTTCCCTCCCCGGTCACTACAGATCTGCTTCTCACCTTGGTACGAAGAGATTTTGTAGATGTCTGAGAATGCTCTGAACATAAAGATTTGGTTCCTTAACAACAGGTAAAGGAATGGAGTCTTTAGGTAATACAAGAGCCATAATCCAGTCAGTATATACATCAACACAATACTTCACAGTATCGCCCTCCAATGGGAGGGTCAGTCCATAACAAACCACCTCCATGGTCCATTTTACCTAAACAAAGAAAGGGGAGGTTGTTAAAATACTGTATGTACCAAACATAAGAGCATGTCTACATGTTTCTAAAACAAGCCCAATGGTGCCAACAGCACCCCTTTTTAGCAATATCATCTGAACATATGCATCCCTTCAAGAAGTACTTCAGGCTGTGTGTGTTTATAACATATGTAAAGGGACAGTTTCCCTTAAGGGACAGGCTGGAGCCTGCAGCCTGGAGATAATCAAGGAGGCCCTGCCACACCCTGGGGTCAAGCTATATAAAACACGGGAAGGCAAGGAGAAGAAGCCAGACAGGCCTGCAGTCACTCCTGTCCTGAAACCTTAATAAAAAGGGGACATGGTATTCGGTTAGTGTATGTTGGCATCTCCTTGCCTTGGGCTGTAAAAGCAAACCCATGCTTCCCCAATTAAAGGAATTAAGGCAGGGCACCACAAGGGGTTTGTGGGGATGGCCCACAGCTTTAAACAAACTCCAACTTACAGATTGTAAATCATGCTACCTAGCGGACTTAACATGGAAACTAAAGCAACACACAGTAAAAGCGGTTTTATCCAACATGTTGGGAAAATGGGGGGTGTGGATAAGTGAAAAATGCTGGTTAACTAAGAGGGAGTTTGGGTACAGGAAGGGGTGCAGGCTTGGGGCAGCGAGTTGGGGCACAGGAGTGCAAGGTGCCAGATCCAGGGGGGATGGTGTGCTCACCTCAGGTGGCTCCCCTCAAGTAGCGGCCTGTCCCAGATGCTCCTAGGTGGAGGTGTGGCAGGTGGCTCTGTGCACTGCCTCCACCTGCAGGCGCCACCCCCGCAGCGCCCATTGGCCGCAGTTCCCAGCCAATGGGAGCTGCAGAGCTAGTGCTTGGGGTGGGGCTGGGGCAGCTACATTTAGGAATTTAAATGTACTTCAGAAAGCTTGGATTATTTAAAAAAATTCAAAGTTACACTGCAGAAAACTACACAGATGAGCAACACTGAGTTAACATGTGAACAGAACCAGAACCTCTGTAGAGAAACACTTACTTCTTTATCTGTTTTTAGTAAACTCTCGCTCCCAGCTGCCGATGGTGTATTTAAGGCTTGCCCAAGAGGACGCACCACTGCATTTGCCACCTCTCTCCCCACATTATCAGGATAGCTGTGAAGTACACTGGTGTGACCCTGATCATTTTGAACAACAAGATGCAGGGACCTCCACTCTGAGTACATAGTGCCTCTATGCTACACACCAAGCAATACCTGGGAGAAGAGAAAGCAGCAATTATTAAATATGCTTATGGTATACATTAATAGAACTCTGGCTACACGACACAGAACATACCCCATTACACATTTAAAAATGCAAATGAATGCTTCATGCTCATGGAGAATTGGAAAGAAAAAAAAGAATCAAACCGCAGCCATTCAACTCCAAGAGGTCCCTAATGTAGCCCAGTGAACCAGTATGTTGAATATATGGAATTTGTTCAAAAACGTTGATTTAATTACAGGTAAAAATCAGATATGAAGACAATCTTAAGACCTCTCCTGCATTGTATCGATGGTCCACAGTCACCTGAAATGACCCCTGCTCTTTCCCAGCAATTATGGAACAGACATTGCTCTTACTCTAACACCTCTTTTCACTTGGAGGTCAATTCCAGAAGTACTCAGTGAATTTAAGTGCAAGCTCCAATGTACATTCCTACACATTAGCTCCTGGCAACACCCGTGATGCCAAGGAAAGGAACATGACAGATTTCAAGAAAAGGGCAGGCTAAACAAATGTTAAGAAGGATCTGTAGAGATGATCTTGTGGGAAGGTAAGTTAAATCCTTCCCCTTTACAGGTAAAGGAACTGGGGCTACTGGGAAAGAGTTGGCTAAGAAAATGAGTAAATTGTAGTGTGCACTCTCCAACTAACATGCCACTTGAATAAGCCCCCTCTTTTGTTGCAAATTAATCAAAAATGAAGCTCCAGAAAAGGTACTTTAAAACCTCACTGAATTCTCATTTCACTAGCCCACAAACCCAATGACACTCAAAAGGAAAAACAGTCAATTTCCACCTCTCTACAAGATTTGTTGTGATGTCATAGAATATCAGGGTTGGAAGGGACCTCAGGAGGTCATCTAGTCCAACCCCCTGCACAAAGCAGGACCAATCCCCAACTAAATCATCCCAGACAGGGCTTTGTCAAGCCTGACCTTAAAAGCTTCTAAGGAAGGAGATTCCACCACCTCCCTAGGTAACGCATTCCAGTGCTTCACCACCCTCATAGTGAAGAAGTTTTTCCTAATATCCAACCTAAACCTCCCTCACTGCAACTTGAGACCATTACTCTTTGGGCTGTCATCTGCTACCACTGAGAACAGTCTAGAGCCAACCTCTTTGGAACCCCCTTTCAGGTAGTCAAAAGCAGCTATCAAATCCCCCCTCATTCTTCTCTTCCGCAGACTAAACATCCCCAGTTCCCTCAGCCTCTCCTCATAAGTCATAGGTGCCAGTCCACTAATCACTTTTGTTGCCCTCCGCTGGACGCTTTCCAACTTTTTCCACATCCTTCTTGTAGTGTGTGGCCCAAAACTGGACACAGTACTCCAGATGAGGCCTCACCAATGTTGAATAGAGGGAAATGATCACGTCCCTCCATCTGCTGGCAATGCCCCTACATATACATCCCAAAATGTCATTGATGGCCTTCTTGGCAATAACAGCACACTGTTGACTCATATCCAGCTTCTCGTCCACTGTCACCCCCTAGGTCCTTTTCTGCAGAACTGCTGCCTAGCCAGTCGGTCCCTAGTCTGTAGCAGTGCATGGGATTCTTCTGCTTAAGTGCAGGACTCTACACTTGTCCTTGTTGAGCCTCAGATTTCTTTTGGCCCAATCCTCCAATTTGTCTAGGTTCCTCCGTATCCTATCCCTACCCTCCAGCATATCTACCTCTCCTCCCAGTTTAGTGTCATCTGCAAACTTGCTGAGAGTGCTATCCACGCCATCCTCCAGATAATTTATGAAGATATTGAACAAAACCGGCCCCAGGACCGACCTTTGGGGCACTCTCCTTGATACTGGCTGCCAACTAGACATGGAGCCATTGATCACTACCCGTTGAGCCTGACAATCTAACCAACTTTCTATCCACCTTATAGTCCATTCATCCAGCCCATACTTCTTTAACTTACTGGCAAGAATACTGTGGGAGACTGCATCAAAAGCTTTGCTAAAGCCAAGGAACACCACGTCCACTACTTTCCCCTCATCCACAGAGCCATAGAAGGCAATTAGATTAGTCAGGCATGACTTGTCCTTGGTGAATCCATGCTGACTGTTCCAGATCATTTTCCTCTCCTGTCATAAATATAAAGGGAAGGGTAAACCCCTTTGAAATCCCTCCTGGCCAGGGGAAAGCTCCTCTCACCTGTAAAGGGTTAAGAAGCTAAAGGTAACCTCGCTGGCACCTGACCAAAATGACCAATGAGGAGACAAGATACTTTCAAAAGCTGGGAGGAGGGAGACAAACAAAGGGTCTGGGTCTGTCTGTGTGCTGCTCTTGCCAGAGACAGAACAGGAATGGAGTCTTAGAACTTTTAGTAAGTAATCTAGCTAGGTATGTGTTAGATTATGATTCCTTTAAATGGCTGAGAAAAGCATTGTGCTGAATAGAATAACTATTTCTGTCTGTGCATCTTTTTTGTAACTTAAGGTTTTGCCTAGAGGGGTTCTCTATGTTTTTGAATCTAATTACCCTGTAAGATATCTACCATCCTGATTTTACAGGGGGGATTTCTTTATTTCTATTTACTTCTATTTTTATTAAAAGTCTTCTTGTAAGAAAACTGAATGCTTTTTCATTGTTCTCAGATCCAAGGGTTTGGGTCTGTGGTCACCTATGCAAATTGGTGAGGCTTTTTATCCAACATTTCCCAGGAAAGGGGGGGTGCAAGTGTTGGGAGGATTGTTCATTGTTCTTAAGATCCAAGGGTCTGGGTCTGTGGTCACCTATGCAAATTGGTGAGGCTTTTTATCCCCCAGGAAAGGGGGGGTGCAAGTGTTGGGAGGATTGTTCATTGTTCTTAAGATCCAAGGGTCTGGGTCTGTAGTCACCTAGGCAAATTGGTGAGGCTTTTTACCAAACCTTGTCCAGGAAGTGGGGTGCAAGGTTTTGGGCAGTATTTTGGGGGGAAAGACGCGTCCAAACAGCTCTTCCCCAGTAACCAGTATTAGTTTGGTGGTGGTAGCGGCCATTCCAAGGATAACGGGTGTAATATTTTGTACCTTGGGGAAGTTTTGACCTAAGCTGGTAAAGATAAGCTTAGGGGTTTTTTCATGCAGGTCCCCACATCTGTACCCTAGAGTTCAGAGTGGGGGAGGAACCTTGACATGGTGGCACAGTGGTGGGATTAACCTGAAATCATTTGAGATCCAGTTGAGATTTTTTGAACTAGAAATACAGATTTTAAAAAGGAATTTTTTTTTTCTTTGGAAAGAAAGTCCAGAAAGCAGCTTTGAAACTGAAAGCAGCTTGGTTTCTCTCTCCTTTGTGGCCAAGCAGAGACAAAAGGGGATTATCTTGTGAATTGCAGGTTTTTTTGCCTGGAGGCAGGGTACTTAACTCCTGCAGGGAAATTCACAGTCTTCCAACCCATTGTTTTTTTTTTTTTTTTCTTCCTAAAAGTAAATAGGGGGTGTGTGTTCTACCCATTTGCTTTTTCTTTGGGCTGGGTAAGCAGGTTTCCAAGTAGTTGGAGGTTTTTTGCTTTAATTTGGGCCCAGAGCAGAGACAAGGGAATTGTCTTTTTCTGTAGGCTGACAATCACTATCAGAGAATAGGTATTCTATTGCAGCACAGCAAAATTTTACAGCCAAGTTTTGTTTGTTTATTTCTAAACCTTGGGTGTAAAGTTAGTTAAAAACAGAGAGGTTAGAATGACCAAATCCTCAGCTCGACTACAGCTGGAATTAGCCAAATTTCAGGCTGAGGAAAGACAAAGGGAACATGAAAGACAGATAGAACTCATGCAGCTGAAGAAGGAACAAGAAAGGGAGGCAGCGAGAGAAGCAGAACAACACCAAGCGGCTGCTCACAGGAGAGCTATGGAAGCAAGGGACAAAGAACTGGAGGAGAAGGAAAAAGAGAGGAAGTATGTGGAGGAGATGGAGAAGATAAAGGCTCAGCAGAATATCCCAACAAACCCTAGTAATCCTTCTCCAAGTACCACTTCCCATCCCAGAAAGTTCCCCACCTACAAGGCAGGCGATGATACTGAGGCCTTCCTAGAAAACTTCGAAAGGGCCTGCCTTGGGTACAACATCTCTACTGACCAATACATGGTAGAGCTGAGGCCGCAGCTCAGTGGACCCTTAGCTGAGGTGGCAGCTGAAATGCCTAAAGAACACATGAACAAGTATGAACTGTTTAAATCCAAGGCGAGAGTCAGAATGGGGATAACACCCGAGCAGTCTCGTCGGAGGTTCAGAGCCCTAAGGTGGAAACCAGACATGTCATTTACCCGACATGCCTACCACATTGTGAAACATTGGGATGCCTGGCTATCGGGAGCAAGTGTTGAATCTCCAGTAAATTTGCCCTTCCTAATGCAAATGGAACAATTCTTAGAGGGTGTTCCTGAGGAAATAGAAAGATACATCCTAGATGGGAAACCCAAAACTGTAATTGAGGCAGGAGAGATTGGAGCCAGATGGGTGGAGGTGGCAGAGAAGAAGAAAACTGGTCGCAGTTGGAGCGGAGACCAGAAGGGACCACCCCAGACCACACCCTATTACCGGGGGCCGCCCAAAGCCCCACCTACCTCCCAAAGAACCCTCCAGACCCCTTATCGTCCCACCACCCCGTTCTCCAGCAACCCTCCTCGCCCCAGTGACCCGTCAGCTGGACGATGTTTTAAGTGTAACGAGCTGGGGCATGTAAAGGCCAACTGCCCCAAGAACCCCAACAGATTACAGTTCATTGCACCGGAACCACACCAGAGGTCCACAGGCCCAGATACCTCCCAGATACCCTTGGAGCGGAGGGAAACTGTGAGTGTGGGCGGGAAGAAGGTCACCGCGTGGAGGGACACCGGAGCACAAGTGTCAGCTATCCATGCTTCCTTAGTGGACCCCAATTTAATCAACCCAGAGATCCAAGTGACGATTCAACCCTTCAAGTCCAACTCTTTCAATTTGCCTACAGCCAAGTTGCCTGTCCAGTACAAGGGCTGGTCAGGAATGTGGACTTTTGCAGTCTATGATGA